CCTTCATAAATAGTAAGCAATGCAAGAATAGCAACCATGTCACTTTAGTCACTGTATTTTTCCCCAAGTACTAGCAAAGGATCTGGCATATTGTACATTACACATGTCTGATAATTCAACCTAGAAATTCCATTTCTAGGAATTTATCCTTAGGAAATATTTGTAAAAGTATACAAAGAGATATATGTAAGGAAGTTCATCAAAGAATAATTTATAACCAAAAGTCAGAATACCTAATATAGGCAACAAACCTAAATAATGTTCCTCTATAGAATGGCATATTGTGAAATATTAATGATGATGATATTGGTTCATATTAATTAATGAAGGAAAATACCCACAATAAATTGCCAAGTATGACAGGCAGACTAAAAATAGACACAATGTTGGGAGGTGGCTGACTCTCATATATGAAAAACACAGGCTTTGTTTTCAGGATCCAGGACACGAATCTAAGCTCTGACAATTATCAACTTGGAGATATTTGTTACTGGAAAGGGGACCTGGCCCTGAATGGATCTGCCTACGGCCAGCCAGTAGTGTGTGGGTTCTTGACTTTGTGCAGGAAAAATTTCACAACATAAGTCCAGGTGAATTTTAGAGGATGTATATTAAAGCTGGGGATGGTGAAACAAGGACATGAGCCTAGGCTGGGCTGCTTTGGCTCACTAAGAAGTTAGAGAAGCCCTTGATGGTTTGGCTCAGTGGGTAGAACATCGGCCCACGGGCTGAAGGGTCCAGGTTTGATTCCAGTCAAGGGCATGTACCTGGGTTGCACACTGGATCCTAAGCCCTGGTCAGGATACATGCAGGAGGCAACCAATGGATGTTTCTCTTTTGCATGGATGTTTCTCTCTCTCTGTGTCTCTCCCCTTCCCTTCCACTCTCTCTAACAATCAAAGTGTCCTCAGGTGAGGATTAATAAAACAAAAAGTCAGAGAAAAGGGGATCTTGGGGACAGGTTGGGAGGGGGGGGCGGGGTTACCCGGGATGAATTGCTGCTACCCATTGCTCTCCTGGTTACAACCCTCCTGCGGTCCCTTAGAGTGCAGGAAATGCATGGCTGTGGGGAAAAGGTGGGGGAGGTAAGGGGTGTGCTCCTGGGAGGGAGCTGGGACCTTGGTTTTGAGGGCTCGCTGTGTCGAGGAGGTCTTAGGGAAGGATCTCAATAGAATATTCATCAATTCTATGCTGATGTACCAAAATGAGGTTTATTCTCCTAACTTCATCTGTTCTTGGCTATAGTTGGCAAATGGCACTAATTGGATTTCTGCTGTCTGTCTCCCCAAGGACGGTGATTTAAGCTATTTACCCTCTCTCTGGTGGGAAGAATGCAAACCATTTATTCTCAAGTGTCCCTGGCTTACGGAAGATAGGATTTACTAGAAGCCACAAACTGCTTGGCATCGAGATATTCTAGATCAGTGGTTCTCAACCTTCCTAAATGCCACGACCCTTTAAATACAGTTCCTCATGTTGTGGTGACCCCCAACCATAAAATTATTTTCGTTGATACTTCATAACTGTAATTTTGCTACTGTTATGAATTGTCATGTAAATATCTGATATGCAGGATGTATTTTCATCGTTACAAATTGAACATAATTAAAGCATAGTGATTAATCACAAAAACAATATGTAATTATATTTGTGTTTTCCGATGGTCTTAGGTGACCCCTGTGAAAGGGTCTTTTGACCCTCAAAGGGGTCGCGACCCACAGGTTGAGAACCGCTGTTCTAGATGGCTGCAAACTGTTGTTTAACGATATGTCCCAGTTTCCCTATTCAGCTTTGTCCTGGCTTACTAGCCTGTCTCACTTTGGACATGTTACTTAATTTTCAGTGCCTGTTTCCGTCTAAACTATGGGGAGAATAACAGTATCTATCTTACAGGGATGTTATTAATGCTAATATAATACATATAAAATACATATAGCCCTGGCCGGGTAGCTCAGTTGGTTAGAGTATTGTCCTGATATGCCAAGCTTTTGAGTTCAATCCCTGGTCAGAGCACATACAAGAATCAACCAAATGAATGCATAAATAAGTGAAACAACAAATCAATCTCTTCTCTCTCTAAACTCAATCAATAAAAGTCTTTAAAAGTAAAAATAAAATACATATACTTAAAATAGCTTATTATAAGCACTTAATAAAATAAAAAACATTACATGCCCCTTATTCTATTAAAGAAAACATCTTAAATAATATTTAATTTAAAATGTTTGTTATCTGTACTAATTTTCTTTAGTAACTTTAATACTAGGATACCCATCTCTTTTTGTCTTATAGTAAACTTTTTGAGATTTTCCAAGATTGCTCTTTACAACAAATTTTAAAACTAGGCTTGAGAATGTAATTTTTCTTAATTAATAATATTAGCAAAAAAATCCACAAAAATGAAGAAACGGCGCAAAGCCCCTCTTGCTCTCCATCCCTAGCATCTCCAAGAAATAGCATTTGGCATTATAAAACTAAAGAAATTTTATTTGATAAGGTGTCATACTGAACATAGAAATATTTGACCAAGTTCTTCTGTATAACATGTCTGAATATATCACTACTATCACTTTTTCTCACGTTATTGTAAATCTGTACTTAGACGTAACCTTGAACCATTAAAAAAAAGTCTCTAATTCTAAAAGGTTATCTTGATAATTTGTTGCCATAAGGTGTAAATTCTTGAAAGACTTTTCATATTAGAGGGGAACCACTGCACTTCCTTTTACTCTATACAGGCATAGAAATATAATAAATTTTATGACTGCACTGGGTTCCTTTTTTGAAGTGTTGGAGAGTCTTTATCTCCTTAAATAATCAGTTTTTGTGATTCTATTTTGCAAAGTCAACAGGTACACAGAAAAATATTTGGAAAGACAAACATCAAAATAGTAATATTCATTAACTCTGGATGGTGGGACTATGGGCAATTTAAATGTTCTTTAAAAGTTCTTAGGTCTTGCCCTGACCGGTTTGACTTGCTTTGGCTTGGTGGATAGAGCATCGGCCACCAGACAGAAAGGTCCCAGGTTCGATTCTAGTCAAGGGCACATGCCAGGGTTGTGGGCTCAATCCCCAGTAGGGGCTGTGAAGGAGGCAACCAATCAATGATTCTTTCTTATCATTGATGTTTCTCTCTTTCCTCTCCCTTCCTCTCTAAAATTAATAAAAAATGTTTTTTTTTTTAAAAAAAGTTCTTAGGTCTCTATATTTTTTCCTTTCTACACTAAACCTGCATTAATTTTATCATCAGAAACAAAAATTAAACTATTTCCATAAAAATAAAATAAAAAACAGAGTTGGGGAGAAATGTGAGTCTATAGGCCTGTGAAATGAATGGAGTGTGATTTATTTAATAATTTTCAATTGTTAGGCACTAATATATATAAGATTATCTCAAAGAACATTCTCATATATCATTACTCTGATTCTAGACCAGTGGATCTGAATCTTTCTGGGTCATTTTTGATAATCTCATTAAATTATAAACTTTCTCTCAGAAAAATGGCACATTAACAAATATATACAATTTTTTACATACTATTTCGAGGGGTTTCTGGTTCCCTGAAAGCCCCAAACTGATCAAATTATCTCTGGTTAAGAATTCCTGTTCTAGACCATTTGAGCATCTCATTTTTTAAAACTAGAAAGTGCCCAACAAAATTAGCTTGATATTTTAATTTTTCCTGATCTATTGGAGTGGACAGGGAACTGCCCCAAATTATCACATAACAACAAATAGCAAATGTTTATTACGTACTTATGAAGTATCAGGCACTGTTCTAAGAGTTTTACAAAGAGTTATAAAAAGAAAATTAATGGCAATTATCTGCCAAATGAATATGTGCATATAGGCACTAGGGAGGGGACATAGGTATCAATTCAATGGACAGGTCATTTAAGAAGGAAGTAAATATTCCCATGTCCTAACAAAAATACATCTCACAGAACAAGAGGAAATACCCAGGAACCTTGACCTTGAATTTTAAATGGGCAATAGAAATTCATTCCTCCTCCTTATCCTCAGAGCCCTTTTCTTAGAATTGATAGGACTGGGGAAGTAGGTAATCTTAAAACAGGCTTTTCTTGGATCCCAGCCCAGTCTGGCTAAATCAGGGCAAATCACAACCACACCAGTCCCCACCATCCACACAAATTCAGAGTGAGGTAAGAGGGTGAGTACTGTTGACATTAGAGGAAGGCCAGGCCAGGGATGGAAACTTCACAGCAGTGTCCTGGAGAGAACTCCGTGGTTCTGAAACCTGCAGTTGGACCCCTCAGAGCTGTGTGTGTGAGTGTGTCCGCGCGCACGCGCGCTCCTGAGGATGAAGTGCGGTGGGATTACGCCCAGGGTCAGCCAGAGTGACACGTTCACTTCCAACATTCTTATCCCAAGATCGGGTCTTTTGCTGGAAATCTTTCCACGACTGGGGCCATTTCTCTGCAGCTGGGCTGGTGCAGCTAGAGGGCAGAGATTCAGCTGTGACGTTAAGGATCGTAGTCACACAGTCCACGGCCATCTCCGTCACACAAGAACCTTCACCCAATTCAGTCACACAAACACCATCGCCCACTAGTTGCGGACTCACTACTGCACATCGTCCTGGTGCCACACCTGGCCCGCGCCGCCACCCACTCACACACAGTTCCGCCACCGCGGTTCTCACGCACACTCCGCCAGGCGTGCGGAGCTCCCAACGCTCTGCGGTGAAGCCGCGCCTTTGCTCTCCCCGCGGGCTGCAGCGCCTTCCCTACGCTGGCCAGAGCTAACGCTCCCGCCAGGACTGCTCACCTGGACTCCGAACCGTTTTCACAGTGAAGCGAGCGCGGGGCAGCCCGAGGCCTAAGGGGCCGCACGCAGGGGTTGCTGGGAGCTTCGGCTCAGCACTAAATGCGCAGGCGTGGCCAACCCCAGGAGGTGGAGCTTCAGTCCCGCCCTCGGGTTAAGTGAGCAGAGATCCCCTCGCGCCCCAGCAAGGGTGGGGGTCCTGGATGTTTCCTAAGTTGCCGCAGGCTCCTTAAAGCGGGGTAGCGCGTAGTCGGGCCAGCGGGGGCGTTCTGTGAGTGACCAAGCCGGCGCTGTGTGTCTGTCTTTGCGGTGATTCTGGGTGCGACTTTTTTCCACAGATGTAGCTGGTGTGTGTTTGAGAGGTTGCGATGGCGGGATGGGAATGTGGTTTGTGGAGATTTTATGACTGTGTGTGGGGCTGTGTAGAACGGAATGCTGGGGTGGGGGCAGGAGGGCCTCTGAGATAATGGGACTGAGTACAGGGGATTGTGTTTTGGTGAACCTGTAATTGATTCTGAACATTTATGTGGCGTGGTTTCGATAGATTTGTTTTCCTCTGCAGACCATGGTGTGTGAGTCTGAGAAACAGCCCACCTGATTGTGTGGTGAGTATGTGCGCTTCTGATGTAATCTTGCAGAACTGTGGCAGGATGGCTATCTGGATGATGGATGTGACCCAGAGCCTCACTCTCCACAAATAGAGAAAAGAATGTTGCATCTAGAAGCATAAACTTTACTGATGGATTTAGTGGGGAGGGGAAAAAACCTGATATTTCTGGATAATTATGTATTTGTTTTACATTTAATCACAGGTTCATCATAGGGAAGAATGTGAATAAGCATAACTTTAAAAATAAGTTTTCAAAGGTAATTCCTGCTATGCAGCAGTTGATTTTCTTCTGCCCCAGATTCCCATGAGTGGGTGTTCCCTCTTTCTTAGTATTAAGCGGATTTTGTTGGGAAGATTTAAGAAGCCCTAGACTAAGTTTTGGGTTTTTTTTAATCTATATATATAAAAACCTAATATGCTAATTATTCCTCCCACCTTCTACCCTCTGCCAGTTACTATGATGTGCACTGACCACCAGGGGGCAGACGCTCCAACAGGTAGGATCGGGCAGATCAGGACTGGATGAGGCAGGCCAGACATGCCCTGGAGCCCTCCCATTGTCCCTCCTGTTAGAAATGCTCTCAATGATGTCCTAGGAATGAGACAAACACTCGAAACTGAATCGGCAAGGCAAATTTACTTTTGTGCAGAAGGGTGCTCCTGCCTGCAAATCATGGGCAAAAGCACACTGAATGGGAAGTCTGTTCTGGTTTTATTTCCTGATGCGGGGTCTGCCCTGCTCCTCACTCTGAACTCTGACCTGATTGGTCAGGGTTCAGAGCTCAGATTCCCATTATTATGCGATTGGCTAATTCAGAGGAAGGGGAAGGTAAGGCAAAGCCTAAGATGGTGGCCCCCTGAGAGCCTGAAGGTCATGTCAAAATCACAGAACCTAAGATGGCAGCCCCCTGAAAGAATCTGAAGGTCATATCAAAATGGCAGGACCTAAGATGGCAGTGAGCTCCTTTCTTTGACAGAAAGATCGCTGGTTCACTCTCACACTCCCCAGCCCCCAGTGGGGTCCCTCGGCCTCGCCTGCGCCCTCTCGCAACCCGGGACCCCTCAGGGGATGTTGGGGAGCTGGTTTTGGCCCGATCCCGCAGGCCAGGCCAAGGGACCCCACCAGTACACGGATTCTAGTATTTTATAAAGTTGTTGTAAACACTGAATTAGTGAGCCACTGATCTTAGGGAAACACAGAGTTAGTTTCCTGCAAGCATCTAGTCACAACATTTTCATCAATACATAACCTGTTTTATGTGTTTCTTTTTACACACTCTTCTCATAGATTTTTTTATTTTAACATTGAACTCACGACCAACAGCACTATAGTTATGCCTGAATGAAGCTTACCTAACATATTTTCTCTGTAAGGCACATTACAGCCTTCTTGTGCTTAGGAGCACTAGACATCACTTTAACTCTATGCTTGGGGGCATTTTAAATAGCAGGGTCACCAATAAAAGGCACAAAAGTGAGAAAACATGGTACTAAATAGACTGTGAAAAAAGACACTTGTTTATAGTATAAGAGCCTAAATAAGGCAGAGGGTTGCCTTGAGTTCAGCTGAGAAATGTGAGTCAGGGGACTCATTTTTTTATCACTCCATGAATGACCACAAAAGTGCTGTGAATATTGACTTTGAGATTACCAATAAATGTTAGCAAGTGGGTAAGTCTATAAATATGGAAATCCACAAATTATGAGGTTTGACTCTATATATTATCTGGTCCTTTACAGAAAAAGTTTGCCAGTCCCTATTTTAGAGTAGATCCCTTCTAATTATACAATTAGAGTGTTTAAAAACTACTTGAAACAATTATTTTCCCTCTGTCATCAATAATTTATGAAATTGATTATAACCCATTAAGTAAATAAAAATCCTTAAACAAGAGACAAGGGAGTAAAAAAGGAAAGCTCTTTTTTATGGAATGCCAGCTATTTAGTTTGATTTTACATGGCTTTGTGAACTTTGCTTCAAATACACTTAGTATTATATTTTGTTTTGATGAGGATGTTGTACAGTATGGTGTTTTCCTTTAAGTTCAATGTCATTTCTATCATCTCTCATGCCAGCTATCACCTGGAGTTCAGTAAGAGTGACATTGTTAGAATGGCTATATTTTCATGGCATGAAGGCTAGCCATGGTACAATAAAATAACAAAATTTATCAGGCAATACTGAGTTTTCTTTGAAGTCAGTCTCCATCTGATTTCTTCCAGTGTTTCATGTTTGACTTGCCTGCTAATGACCAGCTCTTCTGCTTCTTTCTAAATTCTTGACACAGTGCCACCCTCATTGGTGGAAACAAGGTGCCTGGGAAATAGCTTTTCCAAACCTGGTCAATAGCTGGGCAAATGAATTCTAATTATGGAAGCAGTGCTGGTAGCTTGTGTGCATCCGCAAGTGCATTACTACTGAAGTGCTGGCTTAAGTCTATGTGGTTGCTGGGTCCCTGTTCAGGGAGGGAGGGTGCTGCTGCATTGGTCAAGCCTTAGATATAGATTGCCTGGACTAAACCTCATATTTACTTATTAAAGGGTTCTGCACCCAATTCCCATACTCTTTGGGGAGCAGGGTTTCTATACACCAACAAGCAATTCTAGCTTGTTATCCTACAATTTAATTCAATTCTAACACTATCTACCTGGAGATAGTGTCAAATCCCACAGGTTAAGGGCTCAGTCCTATAAGAATGCCCCCACCCAACACACATACTTCACATGCCAGTTGCTGTGCTTCTGACCAACCAAGTGTAGATTGGAGGTTCCAACAAATGCCTCTCTGGTTTTGATTAATTTGCTAGAGCGGGTCACATAATTCACAGAAACATTTGTTAAAAAGAAACAACAGCCCCGGCCAGTGTGACTCCATTGGTTGGAGTGTCATCCCACACACTGAAGGGTTGTGGTTCAATTCCCGGTCAGGGCACATATGCAGGTTGTGGGTTTGATCCCTGGTCAGGGCGTGTACAGGAGGCAACCAATTGATGCTTCTTCTCTGTCCCTCTCCCTTCCTCTCTAACATCAATAAAATAATATTTTTTATTGATTTCAAAGAGGAACGGAGAGGGAGAGAGAGATAGAAACATCAATGATGAGAGAGAAGCATTGATAGGCTGCCTCCTGCATGCTCCCTACTGGGGATCCAGCCTGCAACCCGGGCATGTGCCCCTGACCAGAATCAAACCCGGGACTCTTCAGTCTACAGGCCGGGGCTCTATCCACTGAGCAAAACCAGTTAGGGCAATAAAGTAACATGTTTTTTAAAAGGTGGCTTGTGGGCTTTGGAGGAACAAGAGTGAGGAAGGAAGAAAGGAAGGGAGGAAAGGAGAGAAAGAGAAAGGAAGAGAGGAAGAGGGGGAGGGAGCGAGGGAGGGAGGGAGAGAAAAAAAAATAGAAAGGATTAGAGCATTGGGCCATGCACTGGAGGGTCACTGGTTTGATTGCTGGCCAAAGGCATGTACCTGGGTTATGGATTTGATCTCTGGTCCGGTTGGGTCGTGTATGGGAAGCAAACAATCAATGAACTGATGTTTCTCTCTGCTCCCTCTTCCCCCCTCCCATCCTCCCTCCCACTCTCCCTAAAAACCAATGGAAAAAGTATCCTCATGTGAGGATTAACAGCAACAACAAAAAGAAACAACAGGACCTTGGCCAATGTGGCTTAGTTGGTTGAGACTCATCCCATGCATCAAAAGGTTGATGTTTTTGGCCCTCACCAATTTTGCTCAGTGGTTAGAGTATCAGCCTGTGGATCCAAGGGTCCCTGTACCATACCCGGTAAAGAGCATGTACCTCGGTTGCAGGCTCCATTCCTGGCCTGGGTCAGGGTGTGTTTGGGAGGCAACATCAATGTTTCTCTCTCTCTCTTTCTCTCCCTCACTCCCTCCTTTACACTCTCTCTCTAAAAAAAAAAAAAAAAATATCCTCGGGTGAGGATCTAAAAAAAAGGTCTATGGTTTTTATTCCTGGTCAGGGCACATACCCGGATTGCAAGCGCTATGTTCTACATTAAAATTACAGTGACTGGAGAATGAGAGAGAGAATAGTTAGCCATGTTCTGTGGAACCCCAGAACTCTAGGAGCCCTGACTTCTTATTTACACACTAGAGGCCCAGTGCATGAAATTTGTGCACTGTGGGGGCAGGGGGTTCCTCAGTTCGGCCTGTGCCCTCTCACAGTCTGGGAGCCCCGCAATCAATCGCCCCAGAGAGGTAGATTCTGCCCACCTGCCGCATCACCACCGAGGGGGTAGCCTGGGTCTCCCTCTTTGGGGCAATTATGGAGCCCCCCCGATTGATCACCCCACTGGCCAGTGGTCTAGGACTCCCTCTGCAGGGCAATCATGCACCCCGCAGAGGGAGGTCCCACCCACCCACCGCAGCCCACCAGTCGGTGGCCTGGGCTTCCCTCTTTGGGGCAATAGTGGAGCCCCCAGATTGATCAATTGCCCCACCAGTCAGTGGCCTGGGCCTCCCTCTGCAAGGCAATCATGGGGCGATGGCCGGATCCCTGACCAATCGCATAGCACTCGCCTTGGCTGGCCTGGCACCAGTGGGTGTCATAGCGTGGTCATCCGGAAGGTCGTCCAGATGGTGGTTCTACTGTTTGGTCATTCAGTCAATTTGCAGATTACGCTTTTATTATTATAGACTAGAGGTCCGATGCACAAAATTCATGCAAGGGCCTTGGCCCCGGCCCCCACCTGCTGCCGCTGTCACGGCCGGGGGCCTCTGTTGCCTCTGCTGCAGCCCCCACCCACTGAGGCTTTGTCTGGAAGGAAGGACATCTGGTCTAATTAGCATATTACTCTTTTATTATTATGGATGAGTTTTGTGGACTCTGTTGGACCTATCCTAGAACAAGCCCTTCCTAACCTTCTCCCATCCTCTTTGTCTGTAGCTAATGTAAATTTTTCAGAATAGCTTACATCTTTCTACCCTGTACATGATGTACAAAACCACTTGCAAAACTCGGAGATGATGGACACATTTGTCTTTTCTATTTAGCCATGCTGGTGATGGCTTATGCTCCATGCCCTAAATCAGCTTTATTTATTTATTGTTTGTTTGTTTGTTTGCTAGTAATGGCCTAATAAACCCTTTTCTTTAAAAAGACTTTCAGTTTTGGAAGTTAAAATTTTTGTTTAATAGCAGTTTCAATCTTCCCCAGGAATATAATCTTAACCAGTCAAACCTAGAATTTTCTGGTTAGCACCAGTAAGTTATTCTGCCTAAATAGCCCTTTTTGT